GGGATGCTAGCTCGGAGGATGACGCTACCATCATGCACCTGGCGCGCATGGTGGAGGCGTACGATGCGGCCCGTATCGACTTCCATCATATGGTGCGCCGTGGGTTGGTCGAGAACAACATGAAGATCCTGGAGCTGCGTCAGGAGAACTTGTAGCTGAAGAAGGACTTGGACGCAGTGGAGGCGCAGCTGTGTCAGCTCAAGATCGCTCACGCAGAGGTCTGTCACCCCAAGCGCCGCCGCGTCTGCCGCAGCCTGAAGATCACCGCCCGCAAGAGTACCTCCAGGTCTGAGCTTGTTCGTCAGTCCTTGGCATGGACTTGCTTCGTGGAGACCCCTCGCGCCGAGCCCGCGCCCTCGGTTCCTCAGGAGGAGGGAGCCTCTGGCGTTGGTAGCTCGGAGGATGTGCTGTTGCTCGGCTTCCGCCCTAGCCCGTTGCAGAAGTAGACGAGCAGTTAGTAGGCTTGCGCGTGTGTTCTTCTCGTTTGTTTTTTCTGCTGGAGTCGTGTGGGGCATGGTTATACCGGTGTGTGGTATAACTGTGTCGGAGCCTGTCTTTATTTTATTTGCTTAAGCAACTTGAACCTTAATGAACCAATTTAGTAGTAGAAATAAATTCAAGAATTATGGTAGTCGTGGGTGGTTGGTTTTAATAGTCAGCTCTCTCTGTTTGCTGGTTCTGTGTGGGATTTTCAGATGGTGACAACCAGAAGAAGTGCTGCTACCGGTGAAGGCAGTCACCCCGAAGGCAGCAACCACAACAACCATGGCAGCCCACCTCCACCTCCTCCCCCGCCACCACCACCACCACCTGACACCAACCCCATCCTCACCCAAATCCTCGCCCAGCAGGCCAACATGATGGCTGCTTTCCTCCACCACATCCAAAATCCGTCACAGCATAATGCTCCACCTCCACCACCACCCCCGCAACATTCTAAACTCGCCGAGTTCCTCCGCATCCGCCCGCCCACCTTCTCTAGCTCCAATAACACCGTGGATGCCTTGGATTGGTTGCATGCCGTGGGGAAAAAGTTGGATACCGTGTAGTGCAACGATGAGGAGAAAGTCATCTTTGCCGCTCACCAACTGCAAGGGCCCGCATCTCTATGGTGAGACCACTTCTAGGCTACGCAGCCAGAGGGGTAGCTTATTACCTGGGCCTGCTTCACCGCCGCTTTCCGGAGGACCCATGTGCCCGCCGGAGTCATGGCCCTTAAGAAAAGGGAATTCCGGGAGTTGAAGCAAGGCAACCGCTCCGTGATGGAGTATTTGCATGAGTTTAACAACTTGGCCCGGTTTGCCCTGGAGGATGTTCATGAAGATGAGGAGAAGCAGGAGAAATTCCTGGCAGGGATGGACCCTGAGCTGTCCGTGCGTCTGGTCTCCGGGGATTATCCGGATTTCCAGCGTCTGGTAGACAAGCGCATCCGCCTGGAAGCCAAGCACAAGGAATAATACACGCATGTAAGGAACGCCCGTTGGGTTATTTCTGGTCGTGACAGTTTTGTACCTATTTCTATCAAGCCGGCTTGTATAGCACGGCTAGGTCATATTACTTTGTATCATGAGTAAAGAAGCTAATCTAGAGTGGTTGCAAAAGAGAGTGCAAGAATATCGGTCTACATATTATATGTGTACTCTTTTGTTGCCCAAGACTGTAATTGGCAATATTGATAGAGCAAGAAAACATTGCTTGTGGAGAGGTTCAGAGGTAAACTCTAATAGAAAGTTGTTGGCTGCCTGGGATAAAGTATGCCAACCAAAAAAGAAAGGAGGTCTTGGAGTCATTAACCTTTCAATCCAGAATCAGGCTTTACTCCTAAAGTTTCTTGATAAATTTTATAATAGGAGAAAGGTGCCTTGGGTTGACCTCATATGGAATTCTTACTACTCTCAGGTTGTGCCTCATTTTTCAACCTCAAAGGGTTCTTTTTGGTGGTGAGACATTTGTAGGTTGATGGATTTATTCAGAGGCATTGCCAAATGTTGATGGTTATTCTTGTTCTTTTTGGGAGGATGTTTGGTCTGAAAATCCACCATTAACCTTTCTAATGCCTAGGTTGTATTCTTTTGCAAATGACAGAAAGGTTTCTGTACATAAATATCTCTCAACTGATATGTTAGATAATTTGATTCTTCCTCTTTCACAGCAGGCTTATAATGAATATTTGGAACTGACCGAGTTTCTCAGCAACATCAACTTGTCTCATGAGAATGATGTTTGGTCTTACATTTAGGGTGGCCTTAAGTATACCTCCCAAAAATTCTATGCCCTCAATTTTAGATTACTGCAGCCTCCGAGGCATTTCCTCTGGTTATGGAAGAGTAAGGTTTTCTCAAAGGTTAAGGTTTTTGGTTGGTTGCTTCTAATGGAAAGATTAAATACCAAATTTATGCTTGATCATAAGCACTGTGCCCCTCCCAATTGTGATCTCTTTTGTGTGCTTTGTCAACAGAGGTGTACTGAAACTCTTGTGCACCTCTTCTTTTGATGTCCTTTTTCGGTAGCCTGCTGGAATCATATTGGCATCTCATGGGATTCTTCTCTCAATTTGGAGAACATGCTTCTGTCGGCTAAAGCTCTTTATCTAGGAAAATGTTTTATGGAGAAATTTCTCTTAGGTGCTTGGAATATTTGGAAGCAAAGGAATGGGTTCATTTTTGAGGATAAATTGCCTTTGTTCTCTTCCTGGAAGCAACTTCTTAAGGGAGATTTGCTTCTTTTGCTGTTTAGACTCAATGCGCAAGATCAAGATGTAGTCAGGGACTGGATCTGTCTGTTGTAATCTCTTAGTAATTTCATATTTTATTTTTCTTAATAAAATTATTTTAAAAGCGGGGGCCTCCCCTGCTGTGTTCTCTTAAAAAAAGTATCGGTCTACAAAGAACGATATCGGAGAAACTATTGAAGATTTTGATGAAGTAGAAAAGCTTGGTCAAGGATTTACATCGGCCGATCCATTGGAGGAAGTAGACATCGGAGATGGAACTAAGCCAAGGCTTACTTTTGTAAACAAAAACATGAAAGCTGATTATAAGGTTAAAATAATTGAGTTGCTTAAAGAGTATGTTGATTGCTTTGCATGGGAGTACCATGAGATGCCAAGTCTTAGCTGTGATGTTGTTGAACATCGGCTTCCAATTAAACCGGGTTTTAGCCTTATAAACAACCACCTCATCGTTTTAATCCTTTGCTATATTATCGGGTCAAGGAGGAGATAGACCGGTTATTAAAAGCGGGGTTTTTTAGGCCATGTCGTTATGCGGAGTGGGTGTCTAGTATTGTCCCGGTGAAAAAGAAGGGGATTGGTAAGATTAGAGTTTGCATAGACTTTAGAGATTTAAATAAAGCTACTCCAAAATATGAATATCCTATGCCTATAGCCGACATGATGATTAATGATGCCTCGGGTCATAAGGTGATTAGTTTCTTGGATGGTAATGCCGGCTACAATCAAATCTTTATGGTGGAGGAGGATATGTATAAGACGGCTTTTAGGTGTCCAGGATTTGTTGGTTTATTTGAGTGGGTTGTTATGACTTTTGGATTGAAGAATGCCGGTGCAACATATCAAAGGACAATGAATTTGATCTTCCATGATTTGCTAGGTATTATCTTAGAAATCTATATTGATGATATTGTTGTCAAATCGGATGGTATGGAAGGCTATAGAGCCGATTTGAGTTTAGCTTTTGAGAGGATGCGCCGGTATGGTTTGAAGATGAATCCACTCAAATGTGCTTTTGGTGTGTCGGCGGGGAAGTTCTTAGGATTCATGTTGCATGAGAGAGGACTTGAGCTTGATCCTAAGAAGATAGAAAAGATTCCTGATTTCAAGGCGCCGACATGCAAGAGGGAAGTTCAAAAGTTGCTAGCTAAGGTAAATTATTTGAGGAGATTTATATATAACCTAGTGGGTAAAATCGATGCTTTTGTCCCTATTCTTCGCTTGAAAAAAGAAGCCGATTTTACTTGGGGGGCAAAACAACAAGAGGCGTTTGAGGGATTAAAGAAGTATTTATCTACTCCACCTGTGGTGCGAGCGCCTAAAGCCGGAATGCCGTTTCGGTTTTATATTGCCGCCGAAGATAAAGTCATTGGTGCCGTTTTGACACAAGAAGAAGATGGCAAGGAATACATCATTACATATTTAAACCATCGTCTTTTGGATGCTGAAACAAGGTATGTCTTTATAGAGAGACTTTGTTTATATCTATACTATTCTTGTACCAAATTGCGGCATTATTTATTATCTAGTACATGCATAGTTACTTGTCAATCCGATATTATTAAACACATGTTGCAAAGGCCAATTCTAAGTGGGAGAATTGGCAAGTGGGCGTATGCTTTGATTGAATATGATTTGGCTTATGAACCATTGAAATCTATGAAAGGTCAAATTGTAGTTGATTCCTCGTATCCTAGGAGGACTCATACAAATATATTTGTTATTCTTCAGTCTAGTCTTAATCGAATCCATGTAGGTCTCCTGCAGCCTTGCCGGAGTTAGTCATGTTTTCCTTATTGGGTTGGGACTTAGGAGGAAACCCCTAAACAGGGTACGCTTGCAATATTTGTATAGTTATTCCTTGAGATTTCCAACATTATAGGAGTATACCATATTTTTTACACCTAGAAAAACATGGAGTGTAATATCATGCATTGCTGAAGTTATTTTAGTGGAAACCACGGACAAATACTCATTTAGAAAGTGATAATCTTGTGCACAAATGCATCATTTCACACATTTGCGAGGTATTTGGGCTTGTGAGAGGTGTGCTGGATTTGGGCCTAACAACAACCAGGCCCATGGACCATTTTTTTGATACCGCTTCAATCCTAGCATTGGCTCGGGAAACCGGACACAGTTTGATGGAATTAATTAGCACACCGGTTTCATCTAAACCATGAGCCGCCCGTGGTTTTGGTATTACAGATATGCACGCCAGATACTTGCGTCCCTATCACGCATATATCTATATGTCTATATATATTGTTTCATTGGATAGAAAACTTACTCGATCTTTTCCTTCATCTCTCCCTTCCTCTTCACTATTCCAACGGTGCAGATCTAGAGGGAAGCAATGGATAGAAACACCTTGGGACATAGCAACTTATTAGAGGAATTGAAGGAATCAGTCAAGCATACGAAGGTAGGTCACTCATGTAGAAATGCAAGTTAAAACATACCGATGACTAGTAATGAGCTTATTAACATAGAGTTCCAAACTTTCTTCATTCAGTGAATTTGATTTGATTTTTAATTGTATTTGCTTAGGGAAAACAAGAAGATAGTTTTGGAGAGACAGCAAAGAATGATCATGTTGATCATTCCGATCTAGAATCCTCAAACTTACCTGATCCAGGAAAGAAAAACGTACCAAAAGATTTGGAAGCTCTAGCTGGGGCTAAAAAGGATGTACCTGAGGAAGTGGAATTTATTGAAATGAATTCCAATGATTTAGACAACAAGATGAGGAGGAACATTGGAAAGAGAAATCGTCAAGATGATAATGGGAGTAAAACAAAGGTTAGTAACTTTATATCTCAGATATGTTTTTTTAAGATTAGATGTATATGTTTTAGTTCATATTAATGCCATATGGTTTGGCCATGTTCATTACTATAGAATATTGGGAAATGGGAAGATAGTAACCGATTAATATTCATATTTGTGAAGTTGTGATGTTTAGAAAATTAATGCTAATTTCTTATAAGTGTAAATGCATGACACGATGCCTTTCATATAGCAAGAACGTTTTTTATCTTTTGCTTGGAAAAAAATATATTGACATTTATATATATATATATATATTGATATGCAGAAATCGTCTAATCGTAATGTGCAAGGTCACGGTATGTATGAATATTATTTATGTTATTATGTTTTAATTTTTTCAGTTTTTTCTCTTTTGTATGTATGAAACTTAAACATATTTAACAACATTATAGGGAATCAATAACTATATTGGGCATAATGAAACCGATTTTCACTATTTTGTAATAAATTAAATGTGGCATAACTTTTGATGCTAAAAAGGTAAAATGGTGTTTTATATTTTTTTTCTATGTAGTTTACTAACTTAGTAGTACTTAACTTAGGAATTTGAACTTGTTGATGCACAAGTTTGTAGCTCTCGATGCCAATAATATTATATTACTTTAATATGCACAGGAACTAGTAGGTCCGTGAAAGGAAGGACAACAGAACTAACTCCAGGTAATTATAGTAAAGTGGCATTTGTTTATGAAAGAAACTTTGTAATTTGTCAATTCTTATCCAGTAGTAATTTCATCTAAATCGGTCTAAATTAAACATATGCAGATCCTACTAAACACGCAATGGGAAGGGGGGCAACCAGACTCACACTTCCTCACGGTTTTGTGTAGCTGTTATTGGAGGATTTGATATGTTAAGAATTAGTCTGCACTGAAGTTTCTGAATATTGTGCAATTGTTGCTGGAGTATGTAACTTCTTCTGAATTGGTGTCTTTGCCGATGTTTTTGAATATGCTTCCTCAGTAGCCACCTTGAGATGTTAGCATTTGGTTTTAAAGTTGTATTTTCATTGTCAAGTACTTAAGTTCTTTATTTATCAAATCAAGTAATTTTGCAAAAATGCCATCTTTGTTAGTTTCTGAGACTAGTTATTCATTTGATCAGACTAGAAATGGTAAATTATTTTATGAGTCGGTCTCTTAGCTTGATGAGAATTGTCAATTGTTACCAATTAAGCTAGTAGGATCATTGTGGTGAATCCTGCCCACATGGGGTTTTCTGCAGCCACATAGCACGTAAGGTTATGACTCGAATCTTAGTATTGAATCTCGAGAATTAATACATGCTCACATGGGTTGGTTTACCATTATATGTTCAAGGCGTGTACCCATGCCACGTAAGCTTAGACCTGTCTTGTGTATGGGAACATGAGAGGGGTGTGTTAGGCCTTCACTTTTGTGTTAGGCCTTCACCTTGGAATATGAAGTCACACCAAACACCAAACATGCAACCTTCAAATGAAGTCTAGCACTTTTCAACTCTTTTTCATTTTTAATATTTTTTAGTACTTAATCTACAAGTGCTCAAAAATGAAGTCTAGCACATTTCAACTCTTTTTCATTTTCAATATTTTATTGGTACCTTGTATGCAAGTGCTCAATTATTTATCCAGCTTCCTTAGTTTTGTACAAAAGTTAGGGGCTGGTTCCATAGAATTCTAGGATCCCTCAAAAATATGCCCCACAAAGGCTCCCATAGAGAATGCTTACATGTCAGCAGTATATTGTCCTTATGTCCACTGACAACCTTGCCTTAAGGATCTTCCTTAAGGACCTTGACTGATCTACAATCTGCATGTTTTCATTGGAGAGGAAGAAATACGGGTCATACATGAAAAGTTCAGTATGAGCTAAGGGAAAAATATCAAAACGCTGCTAAAAATCATTTGATTTTTCAATACACAAAGATCGTAAGAATATGTTAGCCATGGATACACAGTAAGTATATGTTGTCCGCCGGTACTCAGTAAGTCAAATAAAAGAAGGAGAGAACATCACATCAAACAAAACAATGAAAATAAGACAGAGCTATTCACAACCCTTCAACTGTCCTAAAATACCGTCAATTGATTCAAAATTCAAGTTTAAACCAGCCATGAGTACTTTGCATGCTTGGCCATATTCCTAAAGATGCAAAACGTCAATCACTATGCTGGATCAAGCCATCTCTGACGTGTCCAAATGCTCATGTTTAATGGGTTTGGCTTTGGTTAGAGATTAGTGGTCACTAATAACAAAAACTCACCTGTGACAGGTGAACACCCGTCTTTTGTGACGGGTGAGTAAATCATCTCTGACAGGTGATAACTTGTCACCCGTCACAGATGAGTCATCAGTGACGTGTCATAACTTCGGTCTGTCACTGGTTACTCATCTCTGACGGGTTGTAACATACGACCCGCCACTGATGACAAAACAAGAATTACGATTTTTTTTATTTTAAATGCAACAAAAAAAAAACTCAAACTCCACAGAGAGCACCCTTACCAACTCACCTACTCAGCAAATATTGATTACTCATTGAATGTTATTATTTTGTCTATGCTTGTCTTAATCATTTAACATATATTTAACACTCTAAATGACATCAAATGAAAATATTATCAACTAAATAGCTATAGATCTTATAGTGTTCTATAACTTGTAAGTAGAGAATATCTTCATCTGATGTCATTTGAAGAATTCAAAATTTCATTTTCAAAATAGATCTCACCTTATAATGGATATTTTTTGAAAGGACATTATAATGGATCTTCGAACATGCAAACAATCTCAAATGAACATATTGTAAACTAAAATGTTGTCAATATGGTTGAGTTCTATGACTATCATATGGGGCATGTTTCCATCCACGTCATTTGATAAAACTCAAAACTTTGTTTTTAAAAGTAGATCTCAACACTTGTAATGCATATTTAGCGATGTAAACGACCTCTAATGAAAATGATATTAGTTATAAAGTTATATATGTCATCGAGAGCTCCAACTTTTATATAGGGCATGTCTCAATCTGAGATTTTTTTTGCAAAATTTAAAATTTTGAATTTTCACTTATCACTAACGAGTCGTAACCAACCCCCGTCAGAGATAACAATATGTGACGTGCGGTAGTTAAAGATCTGTCAGAAATGAGTGGTCTCATTTATGGTGGGTCATACATCTGTGATGATCCATGGTTATGACCCGTCACAGATCATCCATGACGGGTTACAACTATGACCTGTCGCAAATGACCTCACATCTATGATCGGTCCTCATATGATGAGTCACGCAGATGGCACGTCACTGATGCCCGTCACGTTAGTAAGAGATCCCGTTGGCCAACGTGGAGACCGGTCAGGCATGGTGGCGGCAAAGGAAGACGACGACAATCAATGGCGGTGGAGTGCGAGGTGGCGTACGACGAGGATGCGGACTAGTGGTAGGATGGTGGCGGTGCCCGGTGTTGTCCGTCAAAGCTTCGTTGTGACCTACATGTATCAAGACAGTGGCAAGGCAAGCTCAACACCGATAGCCAGGCCTCTGGTGATGACAACCAAAGCACGTCTGACCATGGTGTCTCAGTGGAGTGTAATCCAAGGTCGGCGCCCATTCGTCCTATCCACCTCCCACCATGGCCCCAAGCGTGTCGTCGAGGGTTAATAGCGGAAGTTGCCTGTCCTCTGCATTGAGTCCAATGATGGCGGCGACATGTATTTTTGTCCTCGTCGTCATCGACCGTTTCCCGCAACAGCACCGCAATCGATGGCATCTCTAAGAGCAAGACTAATAATACAGCCGATCTATTGGCTATAAAGTTTTTTATAGCTTTCTCTTAGTCTATCCATATAATAGTTAGCTCTTTATAATTAATACAGGGTCCACTTGTCTCTCTCACAGAGTTTCTTAGTTCTTGTGTCCAAGCCGGCTGTAAGTTTACAGCCCGTTTCTCCTCTCTCTCCTCTCTTCTCTTCTCTACCTCAGTATTTAGCTGGCTAATAGCCTACTATTATACTTATACTTGCTCTAACAGTGACAGCGAGCAGCCAGGCAGCCAACACGGAGCCAACCCAGCAGCGTGGGCGGTCCGGCAGTGGCGGCACGTGCTCCCGGTGTGGCTCCGACGAGGGAGTGGTTCCCGAACCGGGTTCAGTCCCAGAGAAAGGCATCCCGATCAATTTTTCGATTAGAACACATGTTTTTCTTCCAGTTTTCATCTTTAAGCAATAAATGAATATAGATCTAAAGCAGGAAACTTCTCTACTGCTATTATAGCTTGAACAACATGATGAAATGCAAGAAAACCTAATAATGTACTAATTGCAACAAACAAATTTTTACCGTAGATTGATCTGCGCAATAGGACTTGAAGCAGTGGTGAGTCAATTGCGGTGACGAGGAAGCATATGTAGCCGTAGCTGCCCCATCAACATTACTCCAACGGTAGAGCTGCTAATAACGTGTTGTGGAATGACTACATTGACGGATCGCCCAAATCCGCTCCCTTCACTCCTATAGAAGATGAGGCGCCCAGTAGATGTAGAAGCTCGTATCACATCTTAATAAATCACACCATAAGAGATAACAACACGAGATGTAGGGGTTGAGCTTTGTTTTTATTATCAATCATTATGTGTATAATGATAGGCTATTTACAGGTAGAGGGAGGCTTAGAGATAAGAACAAATTTATGTCTAAAATTGGTTCTGATTGGTTTATAAGAAAATAGTATTTATCTCCTCTTAGAGATAATATTCGTAACGGATAGGATATTAGGAGAGCTAAGTGGTAATAGCGGTCTAGTGGCTGCGCTATGCTTTGAGCCTTTGTTGTTATGACCATCCCATCCCATTCACAAAAGTTTTCCAACCCCTTTCACAAAAGTTACATTGCAAGCCAGCAGGAAACTAACCAAAAAAGGTAATTAATATTTTTTTTTACATTCAGATAGAGATGCATATTTCTGTTGGACTTTCTACCAAAGGCTGGATCTACTGTTTACAAAAGGTCTTCGGCCTTAAAGACTTAAACCACGGATAATCTTTGTTGCTCTTGATCAGTCCTGCAGCTGTACTCCAAAGTTATCTTTCAAATCTTATGATATTTGAAAAAAAAATTTTGCATTTACGGTTAATTTATTCAGTATTTTTTTTGTTCGTGCCTCAATTTGTCTTTTTACTCAAGAGTTCGTATTTCTTAGAGCTGTCTACTCCAAATATTTCTTGGAGCTATATTAGTCTATTAAAATTGTATTAGATAGTTCAGTACTACTTCTATAGAGCCCTATATTCCTGATTTTGTTTTTTATATTAAAACATAAAATTAGAAAATAGGATAGCTCATAATCACTGAAGTGGCACTCGAGAGGTTCACAGAAATTAGAAATCATGTGATGCACACAAAAGAATTTATATACATGCGACAAAAAGAACAAAAGTTGATGCAAATGGACAAAAATATTCTGGAGAATAGAATGAACAGAGTATAAGAAGAACTTATGACAAACATGATGCTTTCTAGCCTCCTATATATGTTGTCTCTTATGGTGGAACCTATCTATACAGATTTAAGTTTCAGAATTAACACGAGTATTCATAAAGTATTCATATTTACGGTTAATTTATTCTATCAGTGATAGGGACTTTGTCATATGTCGACCTAATTTTTTGAGGTGTTTATAGGGGTGTTTTTTTGAGGTGTTTATAGGGGTGTTTGTACACGCATATATACGAGCGTCTATGTCTGTTACGTGCTCTGAAGTTTTATTTCAAACTAGGAAGGTAGGCCGCGTGAATACGCGGACATGCGTCGTACGCTAAGTTTGAGACACTTGTAAGAGCGAACTATTAACCGAAGAACATCTATCATGATTTCTCCGTAAAATGTTTTAGTCGGCATTAATTGCTTTTATAATTTTTTAACCTATTAGCTTTATATTATATCATATTTAAGTAATACTATCTATAAACAATTATTTATAATCTTTTTCATCATTTGAAAAGAAGGTAGACTTATTTTCTTTAGAAAATATGTCAACGAAAAGTAAGTGTAAAGTAAAAGTAAGGTGTTTTTTAATTGCATATATGTTATCATGGTTTATTCGAGGATGAATTGGGTGGGACATGAAACTCCATTAAATGTATGGGTTCATATAGCCTAATATGATAGATGTAGTTTGACAGCCAGTCCATCTATGAACATTTCATGTAGAGTGGGTCAGAGGTTCCACGCAAGCTAACGTGAATATAATAACAACGAAATATAATTGCGCAATAATACTTTTGAAATGTGATGTACCATGAATACACACTTTTTTCTTCTTATATAAGATAGATATAATGGTTAGAAATAATAGTTCCACCGGTTTAAAAGTCATAGGAGTATTCCAGAAATGTAGCTTAAATATTATGGTTGTTTTAATATCGAACATTATTACGAAGTGAATGTAGCTCAACTGGTTAGGTTCTTTGTGGTGGAACTTGCCCACTCGGGTGCAAGTCCTAGACTTGACAAATTCTTTCAATGGTAGGTAACGTATCCGTCGACAGTGATGTTCGTGGCGACCTCGTCAATGTCAAAAATATGTCAGTCTAATCTCTCAGAAGTACTCATAGGGGTATATGCATGTGTGTGGTGGAACTTGCCCACTCAGGTACAAGTCTTAGACTTGACAAATTCTTTCAATGGTAGGCGACGTACAAATCGACAGCGAGGTGCGTGGCGACTTCGTCAATGTCAAAATATGTCAGCCTAATCTCTCAGAAGTACTCAGATGAGTATATGCATGTATGCATTAATAGGGGGTGTGTGTGTGCGCGCTGTGAGTTTTTGCGTTTGTACTTAGTTTCTAAAAAATATCAAACATTATTTATGGTTTCTCTTTTAATTTAAGAGATAAAACAATAGGGAGTGGACGACAGTATTGTGTACATGGGAGGGTGAGGAGGTGGTGAAGATTTTATTTTTCTATTTTTCTAAATGATTTAAGTGAAAGTTGATGACGGGGTGTTTCATTTTTTCTAAGAATTTCTATGGTTTTTCCTTTTTTTTTATAGGAGGTAACCCATGGCAACTTAAGATTTTTTTTTAAAAAAAAATAGATCTAATAGTTAAAAATAATAGATACGTCAATTTAATTACTATTTATTACAATTTTACGACATATTATACGGTGATTTATTAGCGCTCTAGAGCGTGTTTAATTGATTTTTGTTACGTACAATGAATGATTTAGTATAACATAATACATAATACATATGTACAATTAATTTTCAGTTGTTATTTAGTTGCCATGTTAACTTCTATGTAGTAAAATATAGTTAATGTGATCTTGATTTATTTATTTATTTATTTATTTATAAATGAAACTATAAATATTTATAAAAAAACATACTTTTTTTATACCCGGATGGTATGGAATAAAAGTACAAAGCCACTGGCAAGTATATCTATGTACCATATACTAAAAGATCATTAAATACTGTCTAATAGTCATTTAAATGGTAGCATAGAATATATTATAGAGCACTTACTTAGAAGATCGTGTGGCACTCTTGGATTGGAGTGTTTCCTCTAACTGGTGGAACTGCATTTTTTGATCAATCACAAATAAAGATATAAAATTATAATTGTTGTGGTAGCTAGAGTCAAAAGCTGACCTTAACCAAATATGTCATTTTGGATATGTATTGGGAGTGACAACATAAAATAAACATCGATTGTGCCAATATAGAGCCCGAGGGGCATTGAATGTATGTACATACGTACACCATAGCCCAATATCCACCCCTCCGCCTCATTCATCCCCTCTCCAAATGTACTGTCTCTCATGTTTTCATCATATATTAGTTAGGAACCCTAATTTATTATAATATTTTAAAATAAATAGCTATTTTTTATCGACTTATGTCGTTGGACCATTATTAACTATGTTTGAACTTCTTAAATAAATATGTTATTTTTGGGTTATATTCTAACTATTTTCATATCATTTAAATAATTATTAGAAAATATGAAAAAAAAACCAATGATATATACTTTACCTGTTGAAAATATTTTTGGTGAATTTTCTTTACATCTATGTATAATGTAGGATTTATTGCTATTGAAATACCAACCAAACAGTTTCGAAAAATTCCAAAATGATTTGAGAATGTTAATCTCACACAAATTAAAATTTAAATTGGATCTACTTAAAAAAACACAACTAAATTACATGGTTTGCATTTTTACATAGTTCAAATTACCGTTGTATATTTATTAAGTAATATTTTATACCATAAAGTATATAGTTTGATGCGGGTTTTTTTTTGAAAAATTGTTGTGGAGTTAATTAATACATGTTGATTTCATTTGCTGCATTGTATTTTAATTATGTATTTTTATTAGTAAGATGAATAATCAAACATATGCTCAAAAGTCAATAGCGAAAAAAGTAATATAAAAATATTTAGGAGTACACTAGGTAAAAAAAATAAAAGTGGGGTGAATGGGAATAGAAAAAAGAGTAAATTTCACAAAACTACACGTTTTATGGTCCAAGTTAACAGGATGCCACGTCCTCATTCTAAGTGGAACAACCATGTCATCTCATAGGTGAATCCATTCATTGATAGTGTGGTTTTGTGAAATTACACTAACAAAATATATGTACTTGAGTGCCAATTGTCAAAGTGTATGTGATTTTCTACAATTTGGACCACAAAACGTGCAAGGAGAGGAGAGAAAGGGAGGTTTTAATCTAATCTAATGGTGCAAAATAATGGATCCACCAGTTTAAATGAAAATTGAGGGCAAGATGTTTCCCATCTATTAAAACGCCACGTGGCGGTTTAGGAGCGTTTGTAGGAAGTTTAATGGACTTTTAGTATATAATATTAGATAGATTTAACTAAATTTATTTATATTTGTGAAGTTATATATTTTATTTTTATATTGTAGAAATAATATATTAAAGACCATTGATTTTTATGGATGTATGTTTTTTTCTGTCTTTTTCAATATATGTGCATTTTTTTCTTCTAGCGAAGAATAGGAAAGCTTTATCGTTTTGTTTTCAGTCACGTGCGTTTGTACGTACGGAAAGACAAGAAATAGCGTTTGCATCGTGTAGCGCTGGTACGTTATAAACATGAGAAAATTATTTTTTTAATAATAGATCTAATTTAATGGTGTAAAATAACGGGTCCACCAATTTAAGTGAAAATCAACGGTGAGATTATATAGTGCCATGTGGCGACTTAGGAGCGTTTGTAGGGGTACACGTGGTGGCTTGACAGCAATCAACGGTGAGATTATATAGTGCCATATGGCGACTTAGGAGCGTTTTTAGGGGTATACGTGGTGGCTTGAGAGCGTTTGTGGGAAGTTTAATGGACTTTTAGTATATAATAGATAGATAGATAGATAGATAGATAGATAGATAGATAGATAGATGGATGGATAGGTAGATAGATGGTAAAAAAATATAGGAAGCATCTAGTCACTTACCCAAATAATTAACATATCTCTTTGCAACTTAAGACTCAAGAAACTGTGCGCTATGAATAGACTAATTTAATTAAGCAAACAATCCCACAATATATAGTATCATACTAAAACATAAGCATCTTGTGCAAATTGTCAAAACACCGCCCAACAACTTTGCAAGCGAAGAAAACAACTTTTTTGGACGCAAACGTAAGCCACTAAGATCGACAAGAACGTCAATAAGTCATCGCATTGTCTCCTTCAGGATCTTTTTGTTTGAGCAATTTTTGACAATGCAGTTTCGTGTACCGCTACATATTTTAAGCTAGTCCATCCATCCCTCATGTGAAAATATATGTCTACTACACCCAGCGACAATGACTCTATTAGGAACAGATGAAGGTTTGAAGAAATTTTGTGGGAAAAATTTAACTAACAAATTAACCAATAAAGTTCCTGGTTTTCCAAGAAAGTCTTGGGTAATTAGCGAAGCAAATGAAAAATTCACTTTAAATGGGCATGCAAACACCATTTTTAGTATTCTCTCTATCATATAACACGCAACTACCACGAATTAAAAAACCAAGAAATAATTATTATCACCTATTTATTTAAATCATCTTAGTAAATGCATATACGATGATACACCTAAGAAGATTAGGGATATCTGGAGGGTAGATGATTTAGAAAAAGTATTTAAAAGGAGAAAGTATATTTATGCACGTTTTCTATTAGTAGAACATTGGAAAAAATAGTTGTGACATATATTTTGAAATAAATAGAGCACTAAAATTAGGCTCCTTTGGAACATACTCTCTCCGTTTCACAATGTAAGTCATTCTAGCATTTCCCACATTCATACTAATGTTAATGAATTTAGATAGATATATATGTATAGATTCATTAACAACAATATCAATGTGGAAATGCTAAAATGACATACATTGTGAAACGGAGGGAGTATATAATAATTATAAATGATTTTCACATAAACTAGTTCAAGTTCTGTGAAGTTACTCCAAACGTTCTTCATTCCCAGGGAGGCCTTGGGTTTTGTTTTGGTCTCCTTTACTAAATTTTTATGAAAAAAAAGGCGCACGTGGCAGAGCCTAGCAAATTGATATGTCTATGACACGTGGGGTAATATTAAAATAACAAAGTTTGGCATGCTTAGAAAATGTGCACTACTACAATAAAGGTTTTCCTTGGACACCGGGCCCTTTTGTTTCCAGGCAGACCAAAACTGGAACCGCACGGGAAAAAGAAGAGAACGGCGCCGGTCTGTCATCCGCATGGGAAAATGGATTTTCCCGTGCAGGCGTCTTAAGAGAACCGCACGGGATAATCCGCATTATCCCGTGCGGGCGACTAAAGAGGGCCACACCGAAAAATCTATTTTCGCATGCTTTTTAAGTTGACCGCATAGAAAAATACCCTTCCACTTTTCCCTCTCACCCATTTCAAATTTTACAATCTGTCTCTTCCTTTTTTTTTTTTCCTTTTTATTCTCTCTCCCTTTTACACTCCTCGATCTCCTCCCCATCTGCCTCTTTACTCTCCTTCCCACCCCTCTATGTCCTCTCTCTCTTTGCCTCTTTCCTCTCCTCTCCTCCTCAGTCCCCACCGATCGAGCACCGCTGCCCCCGCCACCGACGGCGCGGGAGGCGGCGCGGCGGCTGCTGGCAGAGGCACGGCGGCGGCTCCGCGAGTGAACGACTATGACGAGGCGCGACGCCGACGACGAGACGCGGCAGCGGGCGCTACGACGACGACGAGGAGGCGCCGCCGCCCCGGATCCAGGAGCGGCGAGCCCGGGCGGCGGCGGCGGGCGCGACGACGACCGGGCGGCGCCGGCGCGGATCCGACCGGAGCGGCGAGCTCGGGCAGCGGCGGCGTGGTTCTCGCGGCATCGGGCGCGGCAACGACGACGACGAGCGGCACCGACACGGGATAATCCGGCTAGGGTTAGGTTTTTTTTTACTTTTTCGTTTTTTTTTTCCGTGCGGTTCGCATTATTTGATTATCCCGTGCGGTCCACTTAACCCGATCGCACGGGAAAATGATTATCAACCCGACCGCACGGGAAAATGATTATCCTGTGCGGTTGAGCTACCGCACGTAAAAATTTTCATTTTTTCAGACGACTGTCTCCGGACAGGCAAAATCCCCGCTCGGAAAAATGAATTTGACCGTCCGGAAAAATAGTTCATGTAGTAGTGGTTGTTTTCACTAAACACTGGCCAAAGAAAAGTGTCGTGATGTTTAAAACAAACTTTAATTTTCAAGTTCCTCATTACGTGGACGCTAATGTAATAGCACATGACCTCATTCGAGAAAATAGAGGAACATTGTAAATTGAGATCAACACCAAAGAAGTGTTCTTTCAAGGATACTAAATCAAACGGATAAACAAACCAAGATGAAAATTTTAAAAAACGAAAAGTACTGTCAAATTACTATTCAAATTATCAACCGTAACCATAAATTTAAAAATTAAATATTGTACATGTTCTCATCGTTTACTTGTTGTCTTATCAACTTATCAACCGTAGGTAAACTTTAATTTTAAAACTTAATTTTATTGATTTTGTGATTCTTCGTTGTACTTTTCAGCATTTAGAACACAGATATAAGACTTTTAGACACAAATTATTTGTATAGCTCTGTTTATTTTTCTAACGGCCTATCGACCGTAGAGAAAGCTACAATGAGATAGCTCTGTTTTGTTTAGTACTCCTACTACTACTATATAATGTCAGGCGAACTAACTGGATCGTGCCAAAATCGAATACTCAAGTAGTTACACGTTGTTGGCTGTCAGGTGTCTCCCGTTCCTGTGGCTGATGGAAGATGTGAGACCAACACCACAACGTTGTGGTGTGTACGGAGTGGTCTTCTCGTCTTCGTGCCGTCTCCAATGCTGTCGCGACAGAAAGGCAGAGCTAGCACGGTAGCCACAACCTAGGCCGGCTGGGCAGGACCAACAAGCAAATCATGGTGTCCAGAAATTTTCAGCATCACTGATGGCGATGCGATGCTAACGCTGCTGGAAAAAGGGGCTTTACCCGCCTTTGGTAACCTCTATATTTTTGGTTATGTAACCGGAACCACGATCCGAGATTAAAGATATTCATCTTCAATCTCGGCTAAAATAACTGGGACTAAAAATCCTAAAGATGATAGTCCCGGCTAAAGTTTATTTTATTTTTCTTCATTGTTTTTATAGTTTGCACCTATTGATTTCGACCAAATCCCAGCAAATCATAAAAAACATGCACAATAGAATCATCCACAATTCACATGTCCATTAACGGAATCATCCACAATCCAAAATCATTCACAGATCATCCACAAAATCATCATAATCTAAAAAAAAATCTACAGATCATTGATAAAATGTAAAAAAAAGAATCATCACTGGCGCCGGCACTGTCTGGCCGTCGTTGCCCGCCTGCAGCCGCCCGGCTGCCGCCATTGCCTCGTGCGCCGCAACCACTGCCCGGCCTCCCCTCCCGCCAGATTTCGCAGAGGGGAGGCCGTCGCCCGCCGTCGCTAGAGGAGTGGGGAATGGAGGGAGAGGAGAGGAGATAACACCAACTGAGACTAAAAATAAATGGGGTCTCACATGTTTTTGAACCAGGACTAAAAAGAATCTTTAGTCCCGACTGATGTTACCAACCGGGACTAAAGATTAAAAAGTTCTAGTGGGCTTTTTAACCGGGACTAAAAATCTTTTTACTTCTGGTTCCTATTGGAACCATGACTAATGTGATTTTTTGGCAACCCATCAAAGATCACTTCTCCAGTAGTGTAACTTCACGACAAAAAACACTTCCAACTCAAGTTTGTAGTACTAGCAATTTATTTTTCGAGCGAACCAGCACTCAGACGCAAGAAAAAGTTACAATACTATCACCCTTAAAGATTATAGTTAAAAAAAGGAAAAAAATGCATCATCACCACACAATGATGTCGCTATCCCACACAATCGAGGAAGGGACTAGCACTAATCCAGACACTGCTAAGCATGACCGGCTGCCACTGGACTAACGAAAGAGCTATAGGTGCACCCCCAACGCCTACTAGAAACAACTGAGCATATGCTCCTAGACGTTGCCGGAGGATGGTTGGAGGGACAAAGGGTGAGAGAGAAGAAAGATCCTTCTCCGTCGTAAGGACGACCCGCCACCATGCAAGGGCTTCACCCAAACTGTCTGAGTGCAGTTTTAGCAACAAAGATTCCTACTAGCCGACATTGCCAGGGAGAAATACAACACAAAAGCATTGTCGCCATCCGTCGAGGTCTCAAGGAGATCCAAGACAAGACTATCACCCGGTGGCCCCATTAGAGAGGGAGAGGGATGTCTCGACAATGCCCCCAAGAGGGAAAACAACGCCTAAGGTGCTACTGTTCTCGGCGAGCAAGACCGGGCTACGCTTTTGCCTATCACCTACCCATATCGATATGCAACTACTGTAAATTTTGGCGTTAACATGCTCCAATGCTCTAGTGACATCCACTTACCGTCAGCACATCAACACTACTGTATCGAAGCCTACCGCTAGCCATCTTCCGCTTAACCCCACATGCTAGCATGGCCCACACATTGTCCCTGTTGCAGGCCTCCACCTCGGGGGTCATCATTGCCGGCCACCCCCAAGCACCATATGTCACGCTGCCACCCAAGGAAGGGCGCCGCAGTACCCCAGCCCACCAAGCCAGCCGCATGCTGCGCCACCTTCATGGTTGTTCACGCCTTTCCTCCAGCCGCACCATGCCGCCTCACTCCATGGCTGCACGCTGCCTTATCTTCACAGCCTCCTAAATCCGTAGAGCCTGCGCACGCTTACCGTCATGTTGTCGCCTGCTACCCCGGTAAACCCTAGCGAGAGATGCCACCGAGGCACCAAATCTGGCCTCCGTCAGCCCCCTCGCTCCGTTTCCATGTTGCCTTCACCGCCCACGCGCTAAAGGCTGGGAGAAGCCCCCATTGTCTCTGTCGGCTATTTCGCCCACGGGCACGGCAACCACAGCCCGCACACTGCCAACGTGAGCGCGGGCCCTTTAGATCCACACCTCCGCCGTCTCTGATCCGTTGCGCATACTCCAGATCCATGTCACTGCCTATCCTTCTCTTTTGGGAGAGAGGGTGAGTCTTGTGGATTCTTCCCCTCATTGGCGCGCCACTCTGGCCGACACTATTATTCGTGTGCCGCCCTCACCATCACGTCCATTTCAGGCGCTAGAGGAACGGGCTATAGCCTCGCCGCCGCCATTGATCTTGGCGCGCCATGTGGTTTATGGCAGCTCGCTCTGGCGGCAGCGAGGCCACGGAGGGAGGGATGGCGGTGGCAACGGCAGCTAGGGTTTGGGTGCGCTCCCGAGCCACCCATACGGGAGCGGCATGGGGCGGGGTTGCCGCTTTGGACTTTGTAGTAGCAATTTTTGGTGGTAGTAAAATATCACTTCTGTTCATTATTGAATTGGCTGCGAACTAGACACCAAAGCTGTTGTAATGGAATACTCCGCTGATTTGTCACCACGAAACGAAAGGATTTTCTCTCATGTTAATTATTTATTATGTCAGTCTAGTATTTTGGATGTGCTCATAAGTGTAGGATGTGCATGTATTCAGGGGATTAATACACACACGTGTGTTGGAAGTGCCTTAAAAGAAAATTCACCACCCTAACATTGTTTTTTTTAATTTAGATGGATGTTATAATGTACATTAGTACATGAAATATGTGCATGCACAGCATGAGTGTGTCCTAGATTGTACTTTAAAAGGTTCACAAAGCTTAAATTTAGTACGAAACTTATTTGTCACCCGCACAGTTATATATTATATACATACTCAAATTGTGAAACCGTACGTATCTATAAACAATTCGAAAACATCGAGTTGTCATTAAAAAAACAAATTGTGACATTTAACAAATTTGAGTATGAATATTTTGGACAAAATAGATATTTGTAATCTTTCTTTAATATAATAAGAAACCCTAAGAATATGCGACAGCCGGCTCGATTTGTCAGCAAGCACATCACTGGAGACACCGTGCTGATTCTTCTTTAGTTTAATTTTCCGATTCGTCGACACAACAAAGCAACGATACAAAGTGAGCTTAATTTAACGCAATCTTGGAACATCAATCAACTGTACTAATCTATATTTTAATACATCACCCACAGAAATGAACGTTCGACAGCATCCATTTTTTTTAAATGTTTTTCTATATATCTATTTTGTCCAGCAAGATTAACGATTCCGTATGAAACCGTACCTATCCATAAACATCGAGTTGTCATTAAAAAAACAATTACAATTCGTACGTCAAGTTTATTAAGTTTCTACCAGTTGACTGTAGCATTTTACCATTGTATACTTTAAGTTCACTGTATGAGTTAACCTCTCAAGTAAATTGCAGCTATTGGTGCTTGGCAAAGGACGTGTTTTGTGGTGTCCTGCAATTATAATAATACTCCTAGTTCAACAAATATCAGCAAATAATTAGGATTGCTTCGATAGTGAAATGCTTCTAAAAATTCACACGAAGACATCATCAATATAACTGCTCCGGTAACATCATCAATAATATTACTCTGCTAAAGGAGAACGTTGACCAAACTAATTGAACCAGAGATTTTGGTAGAACTGTTTTTAACAATTATACCCACCAAAGCATCATCTTAAGAGGGTTTTTCTTTTTCCCCCATATATATTGTCTGATGCTTAATTATTTGGGAATAATTATTCTTTCTTAGTTGTGCGAAAAAGGTTTGCTCATCTACCTATAGTTAATTTGATCAGAATTATTATTTAGACATAAAAATGCACTGTCCCTTTTTTATTATTAACAAGATGCACTACCGTTAGAATTCACAATAATAAGTCCGTCATGCCTTCAAAAAGGAATTAGTACTACTCACATTATCATTATCGTGTTTAATAAACGATATCAGGTAAATGGGTTTTACATAAGGGAGGAGGTATCAGAGATAACTAGATAACACCCAGCGCTTTGCTGCATGATATATGAATGAATGAATGAATGTTAAATATTGTGGTAATGAGATATGAATGTATGTTAACTATAGCGGAAATGATGTAGGATGATGATTCGATATGTTTGCAGCTTAAGTTCTAGTATAATAAATTATAGACGATGTGGCATACGGTAAAAAATCTAGAATAAAAATTACCATGTATCCCATACCTACTTAGGAACACCGAACACATATATAACATTCTTATACGCTGATTATTGTGAATTAATATTGAAGTTGCAGATTTTACCCGGTGTTCTAAGCAGCACAAAGTGGAATCGCCCCTGGCGGCATGCTTACATTAGCTTCCATGGATATATACATCATATATATTAAGATTGGTTGTAACCATGTAAAATGTATAATATTTGTATATTATAATTACAATTAACATGACGAAAAGTTCAATGAGCCTCATTTTCTTACGCACCATATTTTAAATTTGTTCCTCAATCACGGCCCTGCTCACTGTTTGAACGGAAAATGATAGAGATATAAATCTATATACTGACAACAAACCACGGCCCACATGATTGTTGCTATATTCCTATCAAAATAATTGTGTTAGTGACCAAATGAAGAGAACTTTCAATATGAAGTCTCTTTCAATAAATAGCTTTACTAATCATTTTTGATAAATATGAACAATCCTAAACTAAAGGTTAGTAATCCAATGATCAGCTAATAGCTGGCCCCAACTTCGACAACTTTATGCCCATATAAACAAAGTGTCAACCAGAAGATCTTTCATCTTTTCATCCCTCAATCTTGATATCTTTAACTCCACGATCTTGGCATTTTTTTACTGCAGTTTTCTGAACAAATATTTCAGGCCATGACACTTCTAACACGCATTCTTTACTTCTTTTACCAAATACCGCCGTCAACTTTCTCTTCCCTCTTTCCCCAGAAAAAAAAAACTTTACCTCCGCTCTCCCTTCAGTTCACTATCCCATGTTTATAATTTGAATGTTAAACTTAATTTGGAATTATACTGTGTGTTTCTTCTTTGTTTTGTTTTTAGTGATAGTTTTTAAACCGCTAAGAGTAGAAAAAAATAAAAGCCCTCCTCTAAAATTTCCTTTTTGTCTTGTTTATTTTTTATGCTTATAAGTCGAAGCCAACCAATGTTAGATTACATATAATACTTAGTAGTGAACAATATCTTAAAAAATTAAGTAAGAAACGTTGATAACATATTACTCTCTGTCTTATAATATATTATAATAGATTTTGAAGAGATGTGACACGTTACAGTACTACGAATATGGACAGGACTTAGGATGTGTCACGTAACTTCAAAATCACTTATATTATGAGAGGGGGAGTATTAAGAAAATTGATAGTTTTAGAAGCATATGACACGAATAATTTGGTGACGATCTGCCCCCATCCTATGAGCCCATTCGAAGGAGCTAGTCGCGAAAAATGCCAACATTAGACTGATGGAATACTACGTATCATCATCATCCTAGAGCAAGAGAGGAAGAGATCAAAATTGTGTGCGTGAGTGGCTTGCCCTCTGTTTGTTGTGACCAGAAAAAAAAAACACTAACAAATTCAGACTTGCGGAAACTTCTTCCACAAATACCACCGACCAGGCCCTACCAGCCACTCACTCAGCTGGATGTTGAGCATTCAGCAGCAGCAGCAGCAGCCACCTCCATCATGAGTTGTGCACTTTGCAACAGTGCTGGCTTCTGCATGTAGACGTGTTCACTCACACAAAACAAATTAAAAATTGTGAGTGTTTATGCTGTTTGATGATTGGTTGTTTGTTCTGTTTTGGACATGCTTGTTAATTAGTTTCTCTCTCTAGACTCTTCCTTCCTTGATCTTTCCTCTCTCTTCTTTGCCTGCCTATATAAATGCTGGTACTAATATCTTGCTGCTCATAGCAGGGGAGTGGCTCAGCTTATAGCTTAAACCATCAGAGCTGCAAAGGAAATTAAGTACCAAAGTACTGTACTGTACTGTACTACAGTTTCAAGCCAAGAAAGGCAAGACTTGTGAGAGATTTTTGTGCAAAGCAAGATGGCTAAGGTTGGTGGATTATTGCTAATCAATTAGGCTCCTGTTGTAGGAATAGTCTTTGGTATAATTGCTTGGTTTATCTGAAATTTGTGTGGGTGTTCTTGCTGCAGCAAAAGATTGTTGTGAAGATGCCCATGGATACCGAGAGGAAGAAGAGGAAGGCCTTCAAGGCCGCAGTTGGCATGACAGGTATCAGCAAATCACTACTTAACCGTAATTAGCAGCTCACTAATTGCATCTTGATCATCCTCATCATCATAACAAGATAGTACTGTATATAATTTCTGTTAAATCACTTAATCATGCATGATAAGAGATGCTGAATTTATCTGAACTCTGATGCAGGCGTGACATCCGCCTCGTTGGATGGAGACAAGCTCATCGTGATCGGCGACGGCGTGGACCCCATTGCGCTGACGACGATACTCCGGCGCAGCCTCGGCCACGCCGAGCTGCTCAGCGTCTCCTCCGGCGACGACAAGAAGATGGGCGGCGGCGGCGGCCACGGCGGCATGGGCATGGGGTTCGGCGGTGGCCACGGCGGCATGGGGTTCGGCGGCGGCCACGGCGGCAAAGAAGGCAAGGAAGGCGGCGGCAAGGTCGTCGTCGACGGTGTCCACCACCACCACCAACAGCAGCTGCAGCAGCAGCATGCGATGGCGCCGCCGATGCAGCCGTACCCGGCGGCGCCGGCGTACTACAACGCCGCCGCGCCGTCCTACCCCGTCTACCCCTCCTACGCTGGCTACCCGCAGCAAGAACAGGATCCTGGCTGCAGCATCATGTAAAAGATTGTGAGTATCAATCAGAGGAGCTAAAATCTGGCAAAAACTATGGAGAATTATTAAGGTATTTGAGTTCAGAATCAGGCCAAGGTTTGTGCATGGCTTGAGGTGGATCATGCAAGGTCAGGCCAAGATGATCCAAGAAGTTTGCGAGTTTGATCTTTGATGAGCTGCATCATCGATCTGATCTGCAAAGGTGGTGAAAAAAAAGGCAAAATTCTGTCGAATGCTGCAGCTGAAGAAGTAGCTTTCTGTTCATGCTTTTTTTTTTAAATGTGAAGCACTAGTAGACTAGTAGTAGTGTTTTCAATTATCCTTTTTCTTTCTGCGAGTATTTAGTGTTATTATCCGAAATAGAGGTTGAAATAAAGAGCATCTGTACATTATGCACTCAGTTTTTTCTCTGAATTTTATCAGCTTTCAGAGAAGTGCTGAAGATTTGGGACTTGTCGTGTCACCTCGTGTATATTGGGTTTGGATGTTTTTAGTTAGGAACCAGAGGTCTTTCTGCTTATATATTTGATTGGTGCTGTGTTGATAGAGATGCAGAGGCTAGTGGACCTCATGCTGTCTTCACCTTGCTCTATGAAACATTATTTATTTTTATTTATATGTGTCTTTCATGTAATAAAAAATGATAAATTCTTCGGTGGTAAATGAAACCAGCTGAATCGACGGCGATGGAATTGTTTATATTTTTGATTTAGATAGAATTGTTCCACGCTAGCATTAGGGAATAAACCCAGCACATTATCAGTTTATTACGATCATGCTTCCAATCAAGAACTCACCAGCACATCTAAAACAACATTTATTTTAAGGTTCCACATAGTTCAGAATAAAAATATGCTGTTAACTAATTCATAGAAAAAAACGAGAAAACATTTTGGTAAGTTTTTAAACAGCGAAAGATGCCTTTGAACGCATGAATTTTACAAGATTTTCACATAATTTATATTAGTTCAAAAACCATCCGAAATTTCTCCATTCCAAGGGAGGTATTAGAGTTCAAGATATGAGAAAACAAGCAGCCATATATACTAAGCCGATTAGCCGAAAAATATTCTAATCCACAAAATGCAGAAACAATGTAAGCAAGATAGAGGTAAGAGAACAGAGATGGATTACCGAAAAGATAAAAAAGAAAAGAGATGTTGAATAATTTTATTATCGTTAAAAAATATTATCTTGTGCTTTCTCTCCCCATGTTCACATAGAAATGTTAGCTTTCGTCAGAATCACTCCTCGGTTTAAGTACCAAAAACAACTTGTACTCTTGTAGTTACAAAGGTATGATAGCAGTTTCCTTTTGTACTTTGTACATTGTAGTTAGTCAAAGTAACAGACATCAAATGAACATTAAAATGTTAAATGTCCATAATTCAGGAAAACACAAAGGAGGAAGTGCAGAAAGATGATCCCATAGTGATAGCGAACAGCAGCAAAACACAAAAGAGGAAGTGTTTCAGTAATATGTTAATGTTTTCAACTTCAGCAGTAGTGTGAGAGCAGTGCTGGAGATTTGGGACGACATATGATCTGATGTCATCTTGATTTGGTTCTGGATTTTATCTTATTGTTTATTGATCGAAATGATGAGTACGGTTGGATGGGAGCCACGGCTTTGCGCCTATTGCGCCTATTGATTTGCTTGCTGCCGGCTGGATAGAGAAACAGACAACAATGGGCATGGGCCTTGTACTTACCTCACCTTTGTTATATGAATCTCGTTTTATTTTATTATTTTCCTCAGTTAGTGAACTCTTGAAAAGTAAGTCAAAACAAGCTGAATAAATGGCGATTGCACAATTGTTTTCTGAGGTGCGTCCGTGCGTAGATAATGTTTCGGCACTTACGTCAGTAGGGGAGCAGATAAACACAGCAACTCACTGTCCTGCCGCCGGTCCGGAGCCCCCCAGTTTTGCTATCTCCCATCGCATCAAGAAACCTACAATGGAAGTTTAATGATCAATGCATACTTTTTTTCGTTGACACTAGTTAAGAGTTCATGCGTTACAGTGGGAAAATGATTCACACCAACAACAATTCATAATATATAAACGATGTGTCAGGAATGGAGAATCGAAATGGAGAAGTCTGAAGATTCAGAGATTCAGAAAAGTTCACAAACGAAGTGCCAAAGAGGAGGACAACGATTCAGCGCTTATGAAGATCCAACGGCTCCAGATATATATGAAGCGGTATCTACGACATCTAGCCGTCGCTGCTTTTCAGGAGACCTTTCCTGATTATGTCATTTGTTGTTGTTTTCTTTTCTTTCTCGCTGTACTCTGATCGCGCGACATGTGCTCTGGTCCTCACTTTGTAAAACTCTATTTAATCCTAAGAAATGAAAGAGAAGCATCAAGAATCATATTATTATTCGTCTCTAGGAGTATATAGATCTAGAGCCCTAATTCTGTCTTGCCGCGACCACAGAATTAGGGAATTTTTGCTCTCCATGGGAATTTTGATCTATTTTTCATCTAGGATCTTGACAAAGATAGCAGAGGGTGCTCGATTCTTGGCTCTTGATTCCTTCCGGTGAAGGTTGGTGGAAGCTGGCGGCGAAATCCACTATAAATCCCTGAGCTTGGACGGAGTTAATCCGGAGGCGTGAGAGCGGTCACGGACTCACGGATCAACAGAACAAGGGTTGGGTGCCATCCAGTTGGGCGTGCTCCTGTAAAATCTCTGTTGCTCGAGTTCTGAGGCTGGCGGCGATAGACACACCTGTAGGAGACAAAGGGGAGGAATTAGCTTTCCAAACCAATCCCGCAGAAGACGATATGGTAAGTAAAACTCGTTCCAACCAATTAATGCATGGAGGAAATGAGCGAGTTTCGGGTGGACATGGCGACCTTGAAGAAAGATGTGGCGGATCTGAAGGTGCTGAAAGGTCTGTAAGGGAGTTTAAGGGCCTATTTGGTACAGCTCCAACTTCTAAATATAACTCCAGGAGTTAAGTCTGGAGTGGAGTTGTGAAGCTGTTTAAACCCAGCTCCACAACTCTAGTATATTTTGTGAAAGAGCTCCACCCAACTCCACTCCTAGTTTTAGTGGAGCTGAAACTATTTGGCTGAGCTCCAGCTCCAGGAGGGGTGGAGTTGGAGCTGTAGCTGTGCCAAACAGACTCTAAGATTCTGAGAAGCAACTGGTTGATAGTTAGCTTCTGAGAATCTGGAAAAGCTAGATTTTTCAGCTTCTGGCTTCTAGTTCATTTTCTAGATTTTTACAACTGTTAGAATTAATAGATGGGCCTTAGCCCATCTGAAGATTAATTCTTTGGAAAATCGTAGAAGCACACCTCATGGGATGGCATGCATGGCGAGTTTAGTACCATCTTGCCTATTCTAGGAGAGGGAGACCTCATTATAAGGGAGGATGTTTTCCTAGCCACGTGAGGCATGAGAGGTGGAAAGAAGAGGGGAAACAAATGTGCGCGTTCGGCATGGCATATGGTGGAGTGCGTGCACAACGCACGTGTCGACTGGTTCGTCAAAATTAGTTCCTCACCCTTGCATTCGGTTATGCGGAGTGGAGATCGAGCAAGCACGTTGATCAAGTGTCCTGATATCTCTATATAAGTTGAGCCGCCGCCTCCACGCAACACGCACGACCCGTCTTGGCCGACGTCCTCCTCCACCTAGGCTGCCGCCGCCTCCCGCCATCCGCGACCCCGACTCCTCCGCCCCAACCTCCATCGTCATCTGGACTCCACCGCCTCCCCCCGTCCGCGACCCCCCAGCCTCCGCCGCACGACATTCCCGTCTCACCATAGCCTTCTACTCGACCTCCCATGGGCGGAAGGAGGGGGAAGGGGAGGAGATGATCGAAGGAGAGGAGAGGAGAGGAGTGGAGGAGGAGGAGGAGGAGGAGGAGGAGGAGAAGAAGAAGATAAGAGGAGGGAGGATTAGGGGTGGCAATTTCCCCATTGGGCCCGGGGACCCGGTGGAGACCCACCCCTATGGGGGCGGGGGCGGGTGGAATTTTCGACCCACAGGTGAGCGGGGACGGGTGACCCGCGGGGCCCCGGGAAAGTGTGTTACCTCCTCTAAAAATAGCTCATCTCAAGATATAAAGCCCACCTGCTAAAGTGACAAAGAAATAAAGCCCATTTGGCCCTATATGTGACTCATATATAAGGAAACCAAAACCTAAATCCCCACCTCTCTCACAGCCGCTAGCACTGGAGCCTCAAGACGTCCAACCCTATCTCCAGATGTGCAGGAAATCGTTGGGAACCAACACGGTCATCTCCTCCGTACAGTCTCATCTCCATTGACTGGTGCCCCACACCATGCTGGCCACCTACCTTCCTCACCGCTGTGCCACCTCGATGCCCCGATGTCGTGCCCCCTCTTTGCTGGCCACCTCGACGCCGCGCATCCTCTTCGCCGGTCTTCTCGATGCCTCGTCCCCTCATCGCCACACACCCTTCTTGCCGGAAGTCTCATCACCATGTGTCCCCTTGTTGTCCCTGCTCTCAGCTAGCGCTGCCCAAGCTGATGCCCCGATGGAGCTCTCCCGTGGTCGCCACATCCAACTGGGTGTTGCGGGGCCCCGCTCACCCGCGGGTCCCCTGCGGGTACGGGGGCCGGTGAGGTTTTCCACCTGGTCGACAATGTGGGGGTGGGGGCGGGGGAGAAAAGCGAGGAGCGGGGCCGGGGGCATTCTTGCCCAACCCGTCCACACTCCGCCTCGCCCCATTGTCACCCTAAGGGGGATGCAGGAGAGAGGATGCGGTGGATAAGGACGAGGATGAGGGAGAGAGATAAGGACGATGCGCTCTCAATCCCTCCCCCATGCGGTTCGGCTCTTTTTTTTTCTTTAGTCCCAGTTGGTATATAAACAACTAGGACTAAAGTGTTGATCATATTGGGGGGAGGGGGGTCTGTCAAGGCCTGACAATTTTTGATATTTAGTCCTGGTTGGTGTTTCCAACCAGGACTAAGGATCAGAAAGTACCGCTAAGCTTTTTAGCTGGGACTAGTCCCGGTCCCTATTCGAAACGAAATTAATGTGATTTTTGGTCAACCTGAAAAGATCACTTCGTCAGTATTGATACTGCCACGGGACCAAGATTCCACAGTTTTGTATAGTTTAGGGGTGATATTTTTTGGTATTGATGATAAGGGATGTTAATTAAACCCGCTGTAAATTCAGGGAGGGTAATTGGACTTATTCCTTGGAGATTTAGAAGCTCGATCGCTGGCAATGTATGGCTAAATTCTACACTACTGCATTTGGGCTCGACAGTATCATATCTTGTCTCTATGTAGCCTTCAAAATTATCCTGGATTTTTCTCGCTACATCTCTCAAAAGATTTCTCTTGCCTACACGAATTAGACTGGCCAGACGTCCCAAAGCATCATATTAAGAAGGTTTTCTTCTTGTTTCCGTATATTATCTGATTGTACAACAAACAGCCTCACCCCCCACATCGCTCTTGGATTACGTTCGACGTGTTGCACCCCTCTGCGTCAGGCCCGCCCCCTGAACCGCCGCTCACACCCTCATGCGAAGGCGCGAACGCGAGATCGCGGCCGCTGGCACCAGCGCCGACGCAACACCTCAGCCATCTCGTCCGAGGCCGCCGCGCCCG